CCACCCCGCCCACCCACCCACCCACCCACACCCACCCACCCACACCCACCACGCCCACCCCACCCTCCCACACACGCCTCCAGACAGAAAGAGAGAGCAGAGAGGGGGAGACATGTTTTTCGTTCGGCATTGCCACAAACTCTTGACACTGAATGTTGGATCCAGGGGGCTTGTTTGGCTTCGGTCCTGCTGCTCTCTCATGGCTTCGTGACAGGATATAGCCGTTGAAGGATTTACACGGTTTGGCAAACATCTGTCAACTGGGACTGATCGAGTATGAGCCCGCCCTAAACCCTAAACCCTAAAACCCTAAACCGTACTCCGAGTGAACAAAAAGGTTCAACCAGATCCGACCGGAGCTCCGATCTGCAATAAACCCCGCCCAGCTGAGGAGAAGGAAGGCTATCTGTCCCTCGGAATGACTTGAAGGATTTCTCTGCTGTCTCAGCATTCGGAGAAGCAGCTTTCGGAACTCATCAGTGCTCACTAAGAATTATGCACCGCCTATTCCGTTGTCTTGTGCACACCCGACAAGCTTAAACCCTAGGTTTAAACTTAAACCCTAGGATTCCGGATGAGAGAGGATCCTTTGACTCTGCTTTGCAGGGTGCTCAACTTATTTGCTTAGTTTGTTTGCTGCGATCTCTCTTTCTCTCTCGCCCTCGGAAGTGTAGTTTTACACCGCAGACTCGTGGTCACGTGCCTCGCCTGGGATGTCCGAGTGTGAGCGCCGAAAACCCTAAACGCCAAGCCCTGCACCAACTCCCTCTCCTTGGAAGTAGAACGCAGTCAAGTCAGAGAAGCATGAAGAGTTCGTCCTCAGCTTACTTCCCGATACCAGAACCCTGTATCTTAGAATGCCCGACCCTAACGAATTTCCTTCACCGTCGGCATATTTTCTGTGGAGGTCTTCTGCGGCCGTGCGGGCAGAGCTGGATTCCATCTGCAGCTTGCGAGAGTGTTCGCAGACCCAGCAACTCGGCTCATTCGCTGCGTTCCTGTTAGGGAACTCATACTTGGAAGCCATACAGATCCCCATTAATGGTAACTTTAAAATGAGAGCTTTATATGAACCCCATACCCTACACCCTGCTGCCTGCTTGTGCGAGCTGTGAGAGTCGAAACCCTAAACCCTATACCGCCGAAAAATCCTTTAAACAATCCCTAAACCCCAAACCACCCAAAACACCCTTAAGCACACCCGAAACCATAAACCCTAAACCACCCCAGAAAAAAACCCTAAAACCTGAACCTTACACCCCTAAAGAACCCTTCAGAAAAACCGTAAGCCCTACAGATCCGGACCAAGGCTTCTGAAGGACCCGCGCCTGGGCCCCGTTTTCCTCGCTCAGCTGCAGCGCAGCTGCAATGGGAAATACCGAAGCCTAAAGAACTACTATAGATAGGGGCCGAAATAAGCACCAAGACGGGCTCCTTCTTATTCTTCTTATGGTTATTATAGCATAAAATAGAACGAAAACCCTGTTGTGATTCATAAGGCCCCTACATTACCAATCGCATTCCCTATAGGCTTCCTCAGCATAGACAGACTCTGATATATCCCCAAATCCTGTTATTATTATTAGTATTATTATTAAGGCGGCTTTTGTAAGAGCAGCAATGATGGAGATCTTCGACACAAAGAACAAGAGACGAAAACGCGGTGCGTAGCGTTAAAGTAGTATAACACTGTAGGTTAACAACATAATACGATGCAACATAACATGATCTAACATGATAGGACGTAGTTTAACTTATTATAGCATAACATGAAGGAGCGGGTTGTACATGCATATGTATATGCACGGTATGTACTGTATTGTGTCTGTCCACATATGTAAACATGCAAGCAATGTAGCCACAGTAGCAGCAATGACAACAGCAACAGCTTGTACCTCTGCATGAGTGGATTGGTCGTTAGCAAGCCCACTATATCTCCCTGTCGTGGGTAAGCTATACCTCAAACTGTTCTCCTGATTCTGCAGTGTTCTCGCTTTTGCTAACCACCAAACTGCATGAAAGCTTGCGGCGAGCACAATGCTCCACAAACCAGCTCTGTAAGTAGAAAGCCCGAGCCACAACTGCAGGATGCGAGGGGTGGAAGTTTTCCGGGCTGTTCCCAGAGCTTGCGTTCTTGACGGTTTTGTGCGCTACTGACAAGCCTAGGTTCTGTATCCACACAAAGTACGACATTCTAGGGTCTAAGTTTGTGTCAACACTCGCTCGAACTTGGGACTTCCGTGACCGAAAGTTCATGAAACCCTATATAAAGCCAACACCCGAAATTATGTGACAATGGCAGAGCCTTATTCCCGTTTTGCCCGGTCTACTGTAACGGTTAAACTCTAAGGAGAGGGTTTGTTAAGTTTCAACACCCTGCGCTAAGAAGCTTCTGCCATGTTAAGCTAAGCCTTTGCTAAAATCGAATCCCGAAACTCCCAGCGAAGGAAGATGCAAATGTTCGTGGACACCACGATTTGGGTGGCCATCACATCATGGCCCATCGCTACTAGGTTCCGCAGTAGTACCCTTTTGCCCATTTTTCCTGTTTGGGTTTAACCAAATACAGTAGTAGGCAACACAACACCCTACACCCTAAACCTGAGGGGCTACTGGAAAACCTAGGTTACCTACCACGACCTGGAGTCTACCATTATGAAGGGGGCCGACCTTTGGCTGGCATTTGCACGACGGCTTTCTGGCTGTTCAAGCTTTACTGGCCGAACCGGTCGGGGTAATATAGGGGCTTCAATAATTAAGATAGGGTTTTGGGGGTTCCTTATTATAAATTTAATATAAAGGCGCTAAACACCCTTTGGAAATTATTTAGGCCCTTATATTATCTTGCCTGGTTTCGGGTTACAGTCTTAAGGGCCGGGTGTTATGCTTTATGGCTTGGGGTTTGGGGCACCGGACTTCTACATCTGCAGTCGTGTGTTTGCTGCCAGCCATCACGTCCAACTTGAAGGGTTAGTTCCACTGTGCGCTGCAATCTAAAGCCATTGGGTCCTATCCCCTTAAGTTAATCATAGTGACCTCCAGAAAGTTGGAACATGGTAACGTGGATTACGATTGGAGCTGAGTGCTGGGCCTCCGTCTACTTCACTGTGAGAACATAAAGAGAAAGATTCGCGCCGCATGCCCGGTGGGGTTTAAGCCTGAGCATGTGAAGCGCCGAGCCACGCCAGATGTAGCGGAGGCTTGCCACAGACGTCTGCTGCACTCTTTGACCTTCAGCTCTAAGCCCGGGAGGCCCCAATAATGTAGGGGCCCAAATAACTACCAATACTATTTCAGGAGGCTCCTTATTATAAGGATTTTCATTGTAGTATAACGGGCCCCAAAACCCTATTTTACTTATAAAGACCCCTATATATTCGACGCACCCAGAAAGGAAGCCTGCATTTCCGGGCTCCATTTGGGTTTAGGGTGTACGTAGGGTTTCGGGTTTAGGGTTTAGGGAGGGAGGGTTTAGGGTGTAGGGTGTAGGGTTTAAGGTTGAAGCTCAAGCTTGGAACTTTCGAGTGCTGCGAGTTGAGAGTCTGCTGTTGCTGCGCTGGAGCTCAGGGATTTGACAGCAGAGGATAGTTGCAGTCTAGGTTAGGGACTGAAAATATAGAAGACTGTATTGCGGCATGCCATATGTAATGTAATTGTATGAGGACCGTAAGCAGGCATTATTTTGTAAACTATCCAGACCCCTGCACGGCCGTGCTTGATTTATTTTCCACTGCCTCTCTGTTTACAGCACGTGCCACTGGTATACTACGAATATCTACGGATCCTTACAAAGACACCCCTTGTCCCTGAGGGAAGTTGAGAGATATTATATTCTATAACACCTTATAGGACTCTATAAAGCCTAAAGAATGCAGCACTTCGTAAGACCTTGTTTAAACCACCTTTACCAACGAGGGCCCTAAACCCTAAACCCCTTTACCCTCATGGTAACCCTTGTCGACGCCTTTACAGGAATCCTTTTGCTGAACCTAGATGCACCAGTCCTATACCCTATATCCTAAACCCTAAACTCCTAAACCCTAAACCCCAAACCCCAAACCCTAAACCCTAAACCCTAAGACCCTAAACCCCCGGAGTCCTCGCTTGCAAGGACTTCCAACAGCAGCATCGCTTCGCCGACTGTGGCCTCGGAAGTCTCCTCTACCATCCCATGGCAGCTTCGCTTCGTCTTACTACTTGTAGCTTAAAAAAGAGTTTAGGGCTTAGGTTTTAGGGTTTAGGGTCTTAGGATTTAGGGTTTGAGGGTTTAGGGTATAGTATAGGTAATTACTACTTTTAGTAAGTAGGTTATAAGTAGAGTTATAAGTACCCTAACTGGAGTTACCCCGATTATAACCCTATTTATAACGGACTTACTAA